ATAATAAAAAATATATAAACCAAGCTCTTTTAAATCCCACAGTTTCCAACCTTCATTGACAATTTTTATATCAAAAATGTAGAGATTTTTTTTTTGTCCTGCATCACCCAGTTTTGGTCTCATGCTGACATCTTTTATGGTTTTTGAGGAAGTGATGGGGGAGTACCCTCCACCTCTCCCATTGACTGCAATACAAATTCAGTAGCAGGTGTTGCTGGGCAGAAATAGTCATATCTGATTCTGATTGGCTTAAACTCATTAATTCGTAGGATTTTAACTTAGGTATGAGACTAATTGTAAGATAAATTAACACGGTGTATTTACATCTATATGCGTGTACTTCTGTGTGCTTATTGATGTGTGGTTCTTTGTGTGTGTGTACATGTCTTACTATAATTGTGAGGACAATTTTGGTTAAAAACCATTATTCTGAGGTCATTTTGGTCGGTCCTGACAACTTCAAAGGGCTGTTTGAAGGTTAAGCTTATACACATTGAATGACACACAAATTCCAAAACCACAATACAGGTATTAACTGTATAAGTGTCTCAACCTGGTAACACAAGCTTTTCGGAGGCTCTACAGTAGACAGCCCTACTGGCACACACAACAATACACACACACATATTGACAGACACACACAAACACCATCTTACTTTTTTGATATTCACCTTCAAAATAAGAGTCTTAACCAGGTAAAAAGAATTTACTGGAGGTTCTGTTGTGCAGCTCAACTGCTACACACACACACACGTTGACAGAAACACATAAACAGCATCTCCACGATTTGGATTAACCTTCAAAATAAAAGTCTCAACATGGTAAGAGGGAATTATTGGCTCTGTTGTACAAAACCTACTGCCAAACACAGAAGTACAGACACTTTTAAAATAAGAGTCTCAAAAAGGTAAGAGGTAAGGTAGGTCATAAAAGTTCGATCTTAGAAGCCATCGTCTATATGGGATATAGTGACATAGCTTTATTTGCAGATCAACTTTTGTTAGGGCATGTACATGTGTGTATACATGTCTTGCTATGGTTGTAGGGGGAAATTTGGGATTGAAACCATCAGTGTGAGGTTATTTTGGCCAGTCGTAACAGCTTCAAAGGACTTTTTGAGGGACACCTGTAGTGACTGAGGTCAGTGTCAGGATAAGTCTCTACGACATGAATAAAACTAAAAGTAAAGTCCTTTGTACAGATTGTAACGTGAGGAGTGAAGTACACACTGTTCAGATCTGTTCAGATCTGCTAATTAATTTAGCTACCTTAGCAGTTAGCACTAGCTTCTCTCTCTCTCCCTCCCTCTAGCTTGCTCAGTGGTGTTGTGTAGAGGATTGTGATGTTTATTACATCTTTAGTGATGTTTGCTGTCTTTGGGCACACTCGCTAACTGGAGCTGCTCTTGTCTATCCCCATCTGTGTGCACAGCAGACTTCAGACGTCACTTTACTCTTGATGTGTAACCAATCAGACGGTGCTGCAGGCAGGACATTGCGACACGTTTGTTGAGTTTACTGTCAGATCTCCCGACATGTTTTGTACAAAAACAAATTGCTGAATTGTACGTTCTGTCCATCTGTCTAACTATGTTGTTATGTATCCTTGGGCATTTTTAAATGGTTATGGAAACGAAAATTCTGGAGCTTTCTTAGTGGATATATGGCGTACACCTGCGTATCGCATAGACTACACCACTGGTTGTGTCAGATTTCTTATTGTAAAACACTTTGCGCTACATCTCTTGTATGAAAAAGTGCTCTATAAATAAAGTTCATTATTCATCATTATTATTATTATTATGTTATATTTTTATTTACAGACCCAACATTAGTAGCTGTCTAATACCTGTAACTGGATTTTTGAGCAGAAATAAAATCAGAAATTTTCAGGTGAAGTCTGCAGAGTTACCTGACACACATGAATACAGCTACACTGTCAACTCAAAGGCCATGAGTACACAACAACATAACACCATGATGAAGTTTTCTTGTTATTGAGTGACACTTTGCTGTTGTCAACAGGAGGCATCCAGACGTTTCTCAATGCCGACACCAGGCCTGGAGAGTCAGCTCAAACAAGAGAACTTCATCCTCGGCAGCTCAACGTAATACTCCATACCACCAACCATTTCATTATGAAGTGCATCTCTTTATGGTGGACAGTTACTTACCTCCCTCACTCTCTTGACTGAGATCTGCCTTTCCTGTTGTGTCTCTGGGGATGTTGAAATAAAATGTGATTTGTTGTTTTGCAGCATGGATCAGGTGAAGGGGGTTCTGACACTGCAGGGAGAGGCTCTGATCCAGGCTGTGAGTTGTACCAGTTCTCATCAAAGCTTTATTTCCGATTATATGAAAATTAAAACTAATGTGTCTCCTGTTAATGTTTTGCTTTTCTCAACAGGACATAAACCTGAAGGTTGCAAAGAGTAGCCAAGTGCTGCACTTTCAGTTCAGAGAGGACAAGCAGTGGAAGCTGCAGCAGGTACAGTGTGTCAGTGTGTACCAGAGAAATGGAGAACCATTTCTTTCCCATCTCTGTGTGCACTAGCAACAGACAGCAGATACACACTCACCAAGCATTTTATGAGAAACCTTTGCACCTGCTTATTCATGAAATCATCCAATCAGCCAATCACGTTGAAGCAGTGTATAAACTCCTGAAGATGCAGGTTAGGAGCTTCAGTTAATATTCAAACATCAGAATGAAGAAAAATGGGACTCTGCTGATCCCCTGGACAGTCTCTAGAGTTTTTACTCAGAATGGAACAACAGCAAAAGCATCCAGTGAGCAGCAGCTCTGTGTTGATGAGAGAGGTCAGAGGTCAGAGCAGAATGGACAGATTGGTTGGAGCTGACAGAAAGGCTACGGTCACTCAGATAACCACTCTTTACAACTGTGCTGAGCAGAAACCTTTAGAGTGAGCAACACCTCCAACCTACAACAGCAGAAGACCACGTCAAGTTCCACTTCCTGTCACCAAGACTAGAAACCTGAGGCCTAATTTTCCCAATAATGGTTGTTTTAACCATGCATTTGTTGAGTGTCCACGCTGTATGAGTAGTCCTACAACATGTTGTTTCACTGACTGACAGCCATGCTAGCAGCTCTGTGAGGTTTACTTACCATTTGAGTTAGCGTGGAGCATGATAGCATTTGCTAATCAGCATTAAATACAAGTACAGAAGAAGTCCTGTACAGTGGCATGTGGTCAGGACACGTAAGACAAGCAGTTACAGCTAAAAATAGACATCAGCTAGAATGACACTCAGAGCACATACCTCTGCCAAGGTTCAACATTTTCTTCCACCAGATCTGGATTATGATCTGGATCTGCACCAAATTGTGCAAACTCATAGATCTCAACAACATGAATGTGCCTAATTGTTTACATCATGATCCAAACATGATTTCCCAAGAAACTGACAAAAATATAGAAGAATGCCCAAAGGCTGGGCCTTGTCTAGCAGAGTGGGGAGCAGCCCTTTTTTAACGTCTGCACATTGAGGATAATCCTGAGATCTTTGATGGGCTACAGACAGGTGTGCTTGTTAAGCTGCTCTTGCACAGATTATTACATGCACGTGTGGAAGCGTGTGGAAACTACTTTCACTCCTCCTAAGCGCAACAGCAGCAAGTAAACGATCGAATGACTGTGATCTCAAATCAGAATAAATTATCTTAGTAATCATCTTGGTCCAGATGTGTGACGGTGGGGAGTTAGGGTGAAGCAGATTTTACTAAACTACTACTAATCTACTAAGTAACTGCTTTTGTAAGGCAAGCTTTCACTGACATATTTATTTGATGTACATATTTACAGTTAACCATGTGACATAATACTCAAGCCTTTTAATTCTATTGTGCCTTTTAGTTTTCATATGAATCCCTTTTCCTTTGTGTTAATCGAGATGCTGTAAGTGTGAGAAGTTAGAAACAGGAAAACAGGATTCTGCATTGTCACCAGAGTGTGTCATTGTCAGTTAACTTACTAAACTTACGTATAGTACCTTTTAAGTAAAAAATGTTGCTTTTTTTATGAAAATTATGTTAATACTCAAACCCTGCCTTACTCATCTCTCTCACCATTTCACTTCATCTATCAGATCCAGGATGCCAGGAACCATGTGAACCAGGCTCTGCAGCTGCTGAACAGCCATGATGAGAGCTACCACTTCAAGACGGGGGCTGAGGTTAATAAGGTCTGTACCCCCCTCAGGGCAATGATCTGAACATGGATCAGATCCCAGTTTTTTACTGTGTCACTTCCGCTAACTTCATGTTTCCATTGGTGCTGTAGCTAATGGATGCAGTGATGCTCCAGCTGACACGAGCACGAAACCGCCTCACCACACCGGCCTCCATGACGCTGGCCGAGCTGGCCACCAGTGGTCTGATGGTACAGGCCAGCGGCAATAAACACTACACTCACACACTGCTTAAACACACCAGAGTCTGGTAGACAATGAGTTCTGATCAAATCTAATAATAAAGATGAACAATATTTTAAATATTTTTTTTAATATTACAAAAACAAAGATACACTATATGGCCAAAAGTATGTGGACACCTCTGTTTGGGCTGTTTTTCCTGGTTTGGTCAGGACCCCTAGATCCAATGAAGAGAAAGAGAAGTAATTCACAGAGGTTTTTGTTTTGTTACCCCTGATGCTTTGACTGTGCATGGGGTCAATGAAATGTTCAGACCACATCATTTGGATACTTTTCAGGGGTGTGGAGATGAAACATTATCCTGGGGCAACAAGCAAAGGAACATATCAGAAAACTTAAAGTTGCCGAAGTGTCTGCACAGAGTCCTGACCTCAACCCATCCAACACCTTTGTGATGAACTGCAACACCGACTGTGAGCCAGACTTCATCACCAACATCAGTGTTGGATTTCACTAAGTCACTAAAGACATATATACATAGACATAGCTGCATTGGTCGCTTCAGTCCGTTGCTGGGATACGTCAGCATTGTTGCCCTGTAAACTAATAGGAATAAATGCAGGAGCTGCAGGTTTTCTGGATAAAAAGCCCTATAACATCTCAACCGAGTCATTTTTATATTTGAGGGTTTATGGTATACGTGGATAAACAATAAAAGTTTTGTCTCCAGTTTCTTATAATCGTGATAGTTTAGGCTGTAATATATTTTCCATAAGAGGGAGTGTGTATCAATGGTAGGTTTACATGAATTCAATACTTATGTGGTGGAAAATAATTCATTGTCATAAAGAATTGTTAAAACTAGTGAGTAAAATAAATGAAATAAAGAAAATGAAGTAAGATAGTAAGACATTATGGCAGTCAGTCTTCTCTCTATGTTTTTATCAGTGAAAGGATGAGATACAACATTATTGATCCCAGAGGGGAAATTTAAGTGTTAAAACCGGATGACATATTTACATAATAGGCTGAACCCTATGCTAGAAAAAGTGTAATATGGAATATAAGTGTAATGTAGTATAAAGTGAGATGTAGTTATATATAACAGTGTAATACAGCAGTATAACATATTATTATTATAATAAATATCCTGAATACAATGAGATGTAACATGAATATATTATAATATTATAGTTGCAGTGTAATATTAGATTTGTAATAGAAAATAGTAAATGTAGTGTGAATAGTAGTTTCAGTGATGTGAGTTTTAAGAATTCCTTATGACAATGAGTTATTTTCCACCACATAAGAATTAAGTTCATCTAAAGCTCATGCAAACCTAACACTGACACACACTCCTCCTTATGGAAAACATTGATTACAGTCTAAACATTCAGGGCCCATATTCACAAAGCATCTTAAGGCTAAAAGTAGCTCCTAACTTGCTGATTTAGGAGAAACTCCTAAAAATAATGGGCGTGTCAGTCCTAACTTGAGGACTAACATGGACTATTTTTTTTTACTAAGAGCTATTCATAAAGTCACTTAGTGCTAAATGTAGCTCCTAAGTCTGGGAGAAGTTAGAGGCAGTCGAGAGGACTCCTAACTCACTCAGACCAAATCACAAAGAATCTTAAAGAGCTGCTGCCATTCTACGTCACAGTGTTCTGGAAACCTTACATGATGCTGAATTACTTAAAAGATACGACTCAATCACGAGGGAATAATGATCGTTGTGGAGTTTGTGAAGGATTAAATAACATCTCCTACCAACCGAAACAACCTGATCAGTGTGGACATTAAGTGTTTGGCAACGCTCCGTTACTTGGCAACAGAGAAAAGCCGATCTATCCACCAAACAATAAATGCGCTGTGACCCGACATCATAGCACAATTCATACGATTTCCTTTAGATGTTCAACAACACACAGGTTGTGTTGATGCTGCCTGTACAGTTCTAGACTTTGTTGTACAGTGTCCAGGATCTACACAAGAGTCATGAATCTTAATGGAGAGTGACCGGATCAGCTATTTGAAAGGATCATGTTCCAGCTGGATGTCACCTGGTGGGGGACAGTGGAAATCTTCACACACCTCAACCCACAGCTGGGACCACAGCTACATTACAACAGGTACAGGTACAACAGGCTGTGGCTAATAGGCTGCCAGTTAGCTTTAGTTAGGCAGTCTAGGACAGCTTCGGTTTTTTTTGTTTTGTTTTTTTTTTCCATTGAGAGAATTGAATGTAAGATTTTATATTAAAATTAAATTCTACCGGGTCGACACAAACCTAATCATACAGATGCATTGCGGAGAATGCTTTTGTAAACAGCACCTAATCTGTTATAATTTCATTTGTATTTGTTTATTTCTCTGTTTTTTTAATTATTACTGTCGGATGTTGTGCATGCGTTTTTACCGGCACAGGCAGTCTTTCATCAACCAATCTCTGTGGTTCCTGTGTGGGAGCTCGTCCATGAAAACTGACGTCAGCCATAGCAACAGAGTCACACTCTTAGCTTAGGAGTTTTTGCTTCTCCCTACTAAAAGTTGGTCTCAGCAGCTTTATGAAGAGGGCTTAGAAGAAAACTTTTAGTTAAAAACTTTTAGCGTGACTTAGGAGTACTCTTAGTGGTACGATAAAATGCTTTGTGAATACAGGCCCAGGATTCTAAGTAACAAAACTTTTATTTTTACTCCGTGTAGATCATAAAACAGTCTTACCCGGTCCAATTTGGTGGTGACATTGACATATGATCCAGCGGCCAATTCGGCATGTACATGTATATATCTATGGGAGCAGATCCCAGCAGCAATAGCTGCTGTTCCCATACTTCTGGCCATGTGCTGTAGTGTGTGTATAGAGCAAGATTTTCACTGGTCTCTGGTGACTAAACTACATCACAACCCGAAAGACAAAATGTCAATTGACTTAGCATGAAACCTTGTACTGTTCCATTATCCATGGTCCATGTTCCTTTCTTTCTCTGTTTTCCCTTTCATCATCAGAAAATGTTCACCCCTCCCATGCCTGGGGATGTGATGGTGAACTTTTACATCAACTTAAGTAAACTGTGTCTGACTGTCTACCAACTTCACGTGCTGCCTCCCAACACCACCAAGGTTTGAACTTGTGACCCTCTGCAACACTACATGAAGCTGCACACAGTGCTGAGTGACTGATGTTGGTATTTTCTCTCTCGTCTTCACAGAACTTCAAACCTGCTGGAAGCTCAGTGTTGCATAACCCTGGCGCTATGTTGTAAGTACTGCTTCCTTCCTTTTCTTTATTTCTTTCTGTAGTGTACAGTATACATGAACATATTAAAGTAAATAACACAAACAATATTAGGGACTATCCTATGGAATGTCACCTAAATCAATATTAAATAAATCCATAAATAAATAAACAAATACATACAAATAAATCCTGAAATAATTAAATTAGGTAATAAATGTAGAAATAGATAAATAACTGTGAGTCAGTTGTTTTAAAAATGACATTAATTTATTTATTTTTTATTTCATTTGCATTGGTCTGACGCCCCCTCATTTAAATATAACAGATGGAACTAAAGAGCAGGGAAATAAATGTGACATTAGGAAATAAAAGTCACCTGAAATAAATGAAAAGGTCATTTTTAAAATAAAAAGTGATTTATTTATGTATTTATTTACTCACAGATATCTTTATTTTTACATGTATTTATATATTCCTACGTGTATTACCTAATTTATTTATTTCAGGATTTATTTCATAACTGTTTTTATTCATGTGTTTATTTAATATTGATTTAGATGGCATTCCATACTATCCCACATTCAGGAAGTGAAAGTATATCTTTAATGTCCCATTGATCTCTCTTCACGTTGTGCTATGAACGTTTACCTCCACAGTGAGCTCAACAACAACCGTTTCGAAGTGAGCCATGTTCACAAGGTGGAGTGTGTGGTGCCTTGGCTCAATGACACGCTGGTGTTCTTCACCATTTCCCTGCAGCTCTGTCAGCAGCTCAAGGACAAGGTGTGTGTCTCTTCTGGAGGACAGCTGTGCCACAGTTAAAGGACAGGGTCACAGTTTTTTCAAGTCCAACAACACTCATCAATCAATCAAACGTTATTTGTCGAGCACTTTTCAAACAGGTCAGTGCTTCACAGAGCTAAAAAGCAAAAAAAAAACAGTAATAGTTAATAATAAAAATGCATAATAAAATAATATACAAATAGAATAAAATACAATTTACAACATAGATACAACAAAATAAAGTGAGTAATTACTAAAAAAAAAACATACTTTATTAAAAGCCAGGCTGAACAGGTATGTACGCTTGCAACTGCTCTCAGGTCCTAATGGAGACTCTGAGCATAAAAGCTAAAAGCTGCCTCACCAAAATTTTAAGTCCTGCACTTCAGACTGGTGCCAGAGGACCTGAGGAATCATACTGGTTCATATAGTGTGCGCATGTGAGACATATCTGCTGGTGCAAGACCATGAAGTGCTTTAAAAACAAGTAAAATAATTTTAAAATCAATATGGAAGCTGACAGGCAAATAATGTTTGAAAAAAAGAGCAACATGGAGCCTCCGCCTTGCGGACCCACCACCCGCGGGAATGGATTTTAGGGTTGGGTGCAATGCCGACCAGGGAGGAGGCAAAGGCAGGAACCTAGGCATGCTGACTCCCTGTGTTGTAGACTGGTCCTAGGGATATGGAATGTCACCTCTGTGGAGGAGCCTGAGCTGATGCGGGAGGTGGAGCGTTACCAACTAGATATAGTTGGGCTCACCCCCACGCATAGCAGGAGGCCTGGAACCAAACAAGGCGCTGGACTCTCTCCTTTTCTGCAGTTGCCCAGGCTGACAGGGAACGGGTGTGGGGATACTCACAAGCCCCCAGTGGAGCACCTTGGTGGTGGAGTTCTCCCCGGGGAACGAGAGGGTCGCTGAGCTTGCTGGCTCTGACTGTTGTGTGTGCTTACACATCAAACAACAGCTCATAGTATCCAGCCTTCTTAGAGTCTCTGGGTAGTGTCTTGGAAAGGGTTCCACCTGTAGAAACCTGGTGGGGCATGAGGGGGAGCCTGATCAGAACATGAGTGGTTCTTTGTTATTGGAATTCTGTGCTAGTCATAGTTTGGCTATAACAACATCATGTTTGAACATAAGGTAGCTCATAAGTGTACTAAGTACCAGAGCACCTTAGGCCAAAGGTCGCTGATCGATTTTGTGGTTGTATCATCAGATATGCGGCCGTATGTTTTGGATACTCAGGTGAAGAGAGGGGCAGAGCTGTCAACTGATCACCACCTGGTGGTGAGTTGGATCTGATGGTGGGGAAGACTGCCAGACAGACCTGGTAAACACAAGCTTTTAGTGAGGGTGTGCTGGGAACATCTGGTGGAGGCCCCTGTCCTGGAGATCTTCAACTCACACCTCCAGAAGAATTTCTCATGCATCCCAGGGGACATGGAATCCGAGTGGGCCATGTTCAAAGCCTCCATTGCAGAAGCGATGGTTAGGAGCTATGCTTGTCGAGGCGGCAACCTAAGAACCCGCTGGTGGACGCCAGTAGTGAGGGAAACCATCAAGCTTAAGAAGGAGGTCTTTAGGGTTTGGTTGGGGTCTCCAGAAGCAACAGATGGGTAGTTGCAGAAGCAAAAAGTGTGTGGGAGGAGTTCGGACAGGGTATGGAGGAGGACTTTCGTTTGTCCTCAAGGAAGTTCTGGCAAACCGCTCAATGACTCAGGAAGGGGAAGCAGGGCTTAGCCCAGGCTGTGTTCAGTCAGGGAGAACTACTGACCTGGACTGGAGATATCGTTGGGCAGTGGAAAGAATACTTTGAGGAACTCCTGAACCCAGCTAACATGTCCTCGGTGGAGGAAGCAGAGTCTGAAGACTCGAGGAAAGTCTAATCCATATACCTGGCAGAGCTCGCAGAGGTGATCAAGAAGCTCCTTGGTAGCAAGATGTGTGGAGGACTTGGCTTATACGCCTCTTCAATGTCAACGCCTCTTCAAGGGCAAGGACAGTTCCTGTGGAGTGGCTAACCAGGGTGGTGGTTCCCATTTTTAAAAAAGGGGAATGAAGTGTGTGCTTCAATTACCGGGGTATCACACTGCTCAGCCTCATTGAGAAGTTTACTCCAGGGCGCTGGAAAGGAGGCTCTGACCAATTGTTGAACCTCAGATTCATGAGGAGGAATGCAGATTCTGTCCTGGCCCTGGAACAGTGGACCAGCTCTTTACCCTTGCAAGAGTACTGAGGGGGGCATGGGAGTTTGACCAGCCAGTCTACATGTTTTTTTTTTTTGGTCTTAGGGAAGGCTTATGACCGTGTCCCCTGGGAGACTCTGTGTGGGGTACTGCTGGAGTATTGCTACATTGCTACCATTGCTTTGGTCCCTGTATAACCAAAGTGAGAGCTGTGTCTGCATTCCCCGCACAAAGTCAAACATGTTTTCAGTGATTGTTGGACTACACCAAGGTGTTGTCCCTTGTCTCCGATCCTGTTAGCTGAGGTGGGGAGTGTGTCCACTTTGGGAACCTCAGAATTGCATCTTTGCTTTTAGCAGATCATGTGTTTTTGTTGGCATCATCAGAGTGGGACCTCCAGTGCTCACTGGAACAGTTTCCAGCTGAGTGTGAAGTGGCCAGGATGAGAGAAAGCACCTCCATGTCTGAGGTCGTGGTCAGCCAGAAAACAGTGGACTGCTCCATCCGGGTTGGGGGTGAGTTACTGCCCCAATCGAAGGAGTTTAAGTATCTTGGGGTCTTGTTCACGAGTGAGGGTAAGATGGAGCGGGAGATCGACAGGTGGGTCGGGGAAGCATCAGCAGTAATGCAAACGTTTTACCCGGCCATTGTAGTGAAGAGAGCTAAGCCGGAAGGCAAAGCTCTCGATTTACCAGTCGATCTTCATTCCAACCCCTTACCTATGGTCATGAGCTCTGGGTAGTGACCGAAAGAATGAGATCGCGGATGCAAGCAGCTGAAATGGGTTTCCTCCATAGGGTGGCTGGGCTCAGCCTTAGAGATAGGGTGAGGAGCTCGGACATCCGTAGGGAGCTCGGAGTAGAGTAGCTGCCCCTTCACGGTGAAAGGAGCCAGCTGAGGTGCTTTTGGCGTCTGATAAGGATACGAATGGGAGAAGACCCTGGTGTAGACCCAGAACTTGCTGGAGGGATTACATATCTCATCTTGCCTGGGAATGCCTTCGGATCCCTCAGGAGGAACTGGAAAGCGTTGCTGGAGAGAGCAACATCTGGAACCTCCTGCAGCCACAGCGACCTGGCCCCAGATAAGCAGAAAATAATGGATGGATATGTATATGTATGTGTGTGTGTGTGTGTATGTGTGTGTGTGTGTGTATGTATGTATGTATACATTAAGATATGACATAAGCTTCAGCTGAACTTAAGAATGCGTATTTGTAGTCTTCCATCTCTTGCATTGAAATCATTATGAACCGATGACTACAGCAGTAGTCAGTTCCTCCAGAAAGTCGCAATGGCAATAATTAATGCAAATTCAACCAATCCCTGTGAATTCTGCACAACCTTGTATTTTTGTCCAATCAACCCTACTTTTCCGCAAATTTGATCAAAAATCATCATAGTTTCCTGTGAGTTATACCAGTCCCTGCGCAAAACCTTGATGTACGTCACCAAATTCACTTCCTTGTTTCTGGTTTTGAAGCATGCTGTGGAGCTGCACACATGTGTGACATGAACGTCTCACATTTACCAACAAACATTATTGTTAAAAACTGTAAAGCGATTCCCCGATGTTTTGCATGAAAGCGGGGTAGAGCTGCCGGAGCCACCGGAACAACACAATGCTACTTTTTTTCTCCTGATGAAATAAAATATCTACAGTTCACATAATCCAGTTGATACTTATATACATTTTAAGCACATTTACGTCTACGTTATAAATTCATGTGTCTGTGAATGTTCTCATTCGTCCAGGTCATTGTTATCTCTCTCTCAAATTAAATCGAAGGCAACTGGACTTGTATTTGTCTGTGGAAGACGTTTCGCCTCTTATCCAAGCGGCTTCATCAGTTCTTATGTATTGGTCTCTCTAGTCCGCACTAGTCTGACGCACTAGTCAGACTAGTTTAATTACAATTGAAAGAAAAGAGATAAATGAAATAATATATAATATCTAAATATATACAATTATATATAGAATATAAAAATTAATAGAAATAAATTAGATCAAAATAAATAAGATCAACTATGTTCTAAAATTTGTGTACTTCCACAACCTACTGAAAACTACTATACATATTTTCAGTATATAATAATAATAAATAAAAAAAAAGTAGAACAAAATAAATAAGATCAAATATGTTGTAGTGCATTACACCATCATACTGAAAACACCAAAACATATATTCAGCATTTTGGTAAACTATAGTCAACATATTCCAGTCAGTAGTCTGGACCAACTCTGAACCGGCAAACTGCTTCAGATGACACACTTCTACGTACTTCGCTAACGTATGCCGAAATGTAACCAGGAAGGGGATGGGGGAAGAAATTTGTTGCAAAACAGAATGCGGCACAATAATCATTTCATCTTGATTATCTTGTTTTCATAATTGTTGGAAGCAAAAATCATGATCAAAAATAGAATTAGATTCATCGCCCAGCCCCAACTCATTGTATAACTGCAGCTTGTCTGAAGACACACTAAGCTCCTGTCTCCTCCTCTCCTTGCAGATATCTGTCTTCTCCAGTTTCTGGAACTACAGACCTTTCTAATCCAGCTCCAGTCCATCCTCCAGAATAACCACAGTGTAAGGGACATCCTGGGAAGGGTTTTATTTTTTATATATATATATATTTGTCATCCAGTCTGAGCTGTTGCAGGATGAGGCAAAGGAGCCAATCAAACACTGACATAGATCAATATTTGCCATTCCCAGTTGTGTTAGGCCAGCTGATTGACATTCCTTATGTGTGTGTAGCATTTCACTGACTTGAACCTCTGAGAGAATGAATGTGATTGTTGTTCATTTGTTATTATAATTATTTTTTTGTTAAATTCAAGCAACTTAATACTTACTGAGTATTTATCTGGTTCTCATCCCAAAGGTTTCGAAATGTGTTGTTGTGTGAAACACTAATGTGTGTACTCAGGGTTGGAGGACGAAGCGTATAGTCAGAAGAGCTCATGGTGGGAGAAATAGCATGTTTGATTCTTACAGGAGATGATTCAATAATGTTTTAAATCAGTGTCTCACTGAGTGATGGGGAACCACATGAACTAAACACTTTCTGCCAAAGTTACAACAGTTTTCAATATTGTCAACTCACAACTTAAGTTTTGATTTAGTTATGAATATTTTTACAAATCAGGAAATAATCAGTGTAGTTCCCCACTTAAAGGAACAGTTCAACATTTTGGCAAGTCCTGTTCTGTTTCTTGCCATTCGTGTCTGCATGATAACTATGAAGCTATAGCTGGCCGCCAGTTAGCTTAGCTTAGCATTAAGACTGAAAACAGGGGCTGACAGTTCCCTTACTCTGAGGAGGATTCTGGTTCAGCTTCACTAATTCCATAATCCTGCTTATTTACCAGTGACAGATAATCAGTGTCTGAATTCACTTCCCTGTTTGTTAGGACCTGGATATGTGGAACTGTTCAGCTACCAGTCGTGTCTGTTGATGTAATGTGTGATTGTCTGCTCTGTGTTCATATTTATTTTCCATATTTTGCACGTTGTTGATTCTCTGTGAACCAAACACTAATCCAATCATGAACAAATGACTTCATTCCAGTAAGTGTTATTCTATTTTGAAAAGCTGCCTGTTATATAAAATGTGGAAATTATTTATCTGTGCAATAAAATATTCTAAACAATAAGCTGCACATTAAAGTCTCCTCTCTGCTACATATAAACATGTCTCCATTACAGTGCAGTTCTTTATGTTTTAGTGCTCAGTGATATAAATCTCAAGTACACTCAGTTCATTTCATTGATACATATTCTCCCTCTGGATCCTAATGAAGAGAAATCTGTTATCTTACAGCAGTGGTTCTCAGTGTGACACGTGGGGGTCCCCAGCAAAAAAGGGAATTATTTATTTCCACTATAATTCCATCCATAAGTAACAGAATGTATGATTATTTTGGTTCATGGGTTTCAAACACTTTCTGTAATAAAACATCTAAAAGCAGAAACCTTATCATTCAGGGTTCTGTGGTCTAATTAGTGTCAGTTTAGGGTCCTTGATGTGAATCAGTTTGAGAACCACTCTTACAGTAAAGAATATGCAGAAGCTGTAACTCCATAACCACTATGCAGTTGCATTGTCAGTAGACCCACCGGAAGAGTTACCCAGGACAGGTTTCATAAAGACAGACTAGACTCGGATCTACCTGCACCATCCATGATCTGACTCAAGCATCTTAAACACAGTCTGTACCTTCTGTCTCTAGGGGTCTCTCCATCAAAACAATAACAAAAGACAATGTTGGATGAAAGAAATAGCGTGGGGTCATGGGAGTTGTGACCTCCCGGTTTGGAATCCTTCAGTGTCAGTGGTTCAGGAAATCAAACACACCCAGTGATTCTAACCGTTAAAAACACTGAATAAAGCAGTTTCACATTTAAAGTCAGTGTTTGAGCGACGCTGTACAAAGGACAGAGACTCAGGGAAGAGTTGGAGCTAAGATTGATGCTAACCTTTGTTCTGATTGTTTCTCTGATAACTTATGAACCAGACGTTCAGCAGGTTTTTACCAGCAGCTGAATTATCCAGAGGTGTCCTCCTCTCCATAACAAACACACCAGGGGATTAAAACCAGTAGAAACACTGAATAAAGCAGTTTGACTTTTAAAATCAGAGATTCACAGATGCTCTTGATGACAGGACGTCTCCAGCAGCTGGGAGCTGAGCTGTCTAACATTTCCTCAGCTTGGCCTGTGCATGTTCTCATTTGTCCAGGTCATGGTATCCTAAAGGAGTTTTAAATCAAAACGCAACCGGACTTGATTATTTGTTTGGGAACTGGGTTGGCCAGTCCCAGCCTGGTCAGATGCGTACACGAACTGATGAAGCCTCTTGGATGAGAGGTGAAACGTCTTCCCAGACAAATAATCAAGTCCAGTTGCGTTTTGATTTAAAACTCCTTTAGGATTTCCTCAGCTTGTTTCTCTGATAACTGCAGATCAGAGGTCTGACGACTAAAATCCTTCATCTGGTTCAAATATAGAGTTGAAAACCTCCAAGATGTACACTGACACATGATCATAGAGGATATGATGTCATTGACAGGAGAGCAATGACACGTACTGTTACCATGATTAAAATCACAGAATTCTCTGGTTTCAGAATTGATGGAAACATTTGGGATAATGTAAGAACACAACTCAACATCATATAGAACACAGGTCTAGATGTGGAAAAGTTACATGTTATAACTTTAAGTATCAAATATAACAGTAGTCATCATTATGCAGCAGACTTGCTACTGTGATTGATTCGTCATATATTTTGTCTGTGAAGGTTCTCAGTCATCCTGGTCATATCACTGAGTCCGTCTGCACAAAAACATGTCAAAGATGAGGGGTTTGGTTACTATTCTAACAGTGCTGGTGCATATTGCCCCGACAACAGAGAGAAACTCCCTCAGTGGTGAAACAGTGATGAGATGTGTTTCAGCAGCACTTTACAGACACATCTGCCTCCTGTTTAATGATTCATGCCTTCATGTGGGTCTGTGTACTTTGTCATCTTAAAGTGTTCCATGAACGAACAACACCACATGAACAGAGAAACATTTACATTTTTATTACTTTTATCACTGAATAAAACCTTCAAATCAAAAAATGAACAAATGGAACAGGAGACTTGTGTTGAGAACTACAGAGACAGCTGAGAGTTTCCACCTCCTCTGGTTTCCTAGCAATAAACAACACACAGCAGTGACAGTCAACAACATCACATAGGTAGATTTCCAGGAGTGAATGGCTTGTGAACATTTCATTCTATGTGCACATTTGTTAACAGACAGTAAAACAGTAAAATCAAAGCTGCTGCTTTGGCACAGGAGTCAAACTGAGACTCTGCTTCATCAGTCACCTTCACAACACTTCATCATTTCAGCTGTCATGGCTCCATAGCCACGTTGTCTATGCCCACCTTCCATCTGCGTGGCTGTGGAGGAAACATAAAGGCAGAGAACACACAGTTAGCCTGGTTTCACTTCATGTCACTAAACGACAGGTGAACTATTTTATCTGGGGTAGCACATCCTGAGTCGTTGTGCTGAACTGAATTCATTGAGCCAGCACTAGGACACTATGTTAGGCCCAAAAGTATTCCCACAATTCCTCAAAATTCCCAGGGTGCACCACTGTTTTTTAAAAGCAGAGCTTTTCAGGTGACTTCCTTGTTGGAAGTAAGCAGCAGAAAAAAAATCACTCTCAGCATTGTGTCCTGTTTATGGCGGAGTTTTCAAATATAATGTATTTGTTTGGTGTGCTAAAGTTTTCAAGGGTTTGCTGAACAGAATGATGTAAATTCATTTTACTCTGAGCTTCTTTGTTACTGATCATCTGTGTTGAGCTGTTGGAGTCATCTCAGCTGGATGTCCACTTCTAGGAGAGTAGCCACAGAACTGAGTCAGTATGTCTGACTGATGAAGATCTAAAGTGTTTGAGACGACTCTGTAACATGGTTCAGTTATAGCTTCCTATAACTTTTTGTTATAGGTAGAGTATATTGTGCTTTTTTGTTGTGGTGCTATTAACTCTGCTCCCTAGGTTAGTTTGACATCACCCGCTTGTCAAAGGGGGGATTCCACACCAGGCTACGCTGTACACCCTCGGACCACCCACCTGTGCTGGAGCTGGTCTTTCCCCATCTGCAGCTTGTCCCTCCTTTTCCGTCCTTTGTGCCCTATCCACCAACTCCCAGCCTCCTGGGATGTAAGACCTGATAAAAGCCACAGTGCGCAGACGCCAGGGGTGGCTTTGATTTGAAGTGAACAGTCCGCCTCTGTGCCTCTCATTTCCTGTTGACTATGTGTAGCTTAAACTTTGAATTTAAAGACAGTTAACTCATTGTGAGTGTTGATTTATTATTAATTTGTTTGAGGCACTTGTTTTGTGACAGGATTTTTATGGGCTATAGTTGTTTTATTTTCATACACCTTGTGTTGTGCACCACATTCAGTTTTCTTTTGTTTCGAACACACTACTTTATTGGTGGCAGCCTCCTGTGTTTTGGTTAGTAGGTAAGTTTAGGTAGGCAGGTTATTAGTTATTTTTTTTATAGCTTTTATTTTAATAGCTGTATATAAGCCAGTGGAGGGGCTCAGTTAAGAAAACAGTTTTTGTTTTATTTGGTTCATGATTTGGTGCCACCTGCTGTCCTTCCCTTTGTTCCTGGCCTGGTGTTCTCGTGTTGTTGTTGAATTAGTCACCTGTCTGTTTGAAGTTTGTAATCTTTAAGTTGACTATTGGTTCATTGAACAATAAAAGGTTTTGCTTGCCAGATTATATTGGCATATGTTGCTTTCCTTACCCTAGACCCCTGCTGGGTTGTAACAGAGCACGTTCATGTGAAAGAGAGGGAGTTGTTAATTACAAGCAACATCGTCAGATCCATGAGTAAGGAACTTGACATGATATGAGAAGGAACTGACACCTGCAGGTAAATTCAGTTGTAGTGACGTCCTAAAGTGATATTCAACAAGGTGACATGTAAACAAACTACAATAGAAAAGAAAGTAAAAATAATTACCAATGTTTAAAGTCAGACTAATGTAATGAGTGCATGAATTATGAAGATTCTTTGTATTTTCACTCTTCAGTCTGATGATGAACAGAACTGTTTAACTGTTTTCTTTAAAAACCAGAGTGGAAACATGCAAGATGTCTACATGCAAATATCTACTGCTCGTTATTATTGATCACTTTATTGTAAACTCTTTTGTCCCTGTCAGGATCCTGTAGGAATGATGATCTTCTGAAGTTAACCTGTGCCGGAGCAGGTGTTCAGCGTCAGTTACTGGTGATTTACCCTGGTAACAAGTGAACCACTGTCATAACCCTGACAACCCAGAGTTAAACCTGAGCTTGCCTCACTAACTACAAATCCTGCTTTGTAGAACAGGTCTGAGTCAGCTGTTGTTGATGTCATCAGTGTAGGGCTTGACATACACTGTGAATGTTTGAATAATGTTTTCAACATGGACAAGAACAACACAATGATTTGTGTGTTATTAGTTCAAATAGATCTGATCACATTTATATAGAAATGTAGGTCATTTTTTGCCAAGGTACTGTGTGAACCTTCACCTGTTACATAAGCTTTACTAGTTATGAGTGTGTGTCTCTGTATGGGCTCTACATCCAAAATCCATGGCTCCACGTCTTAATTTTTTACATTCATTTGAATTTTTGAAGGACAGAGCATGATGTCAGACTCAGAATTCAGACCTTCAGAAGAAATCACAGCAGCTGAAAACAGAACACTACATACTGTAAACAGGGAGATTTGTTTAAGTCCTTCAACCTGTTGGCTCTGAGCTCTGGTCTGAGCATAACAGGACAGAACTTCTGAGAGTTAAGCTCTCCTGACAGCCAGCACCTCACAAGAGGTGTGTGTTTTCCTTTCGGTCTGTCCTTTGTGTATGTGTGTGTGTGTGTGTGTGTGTGTGTGTCTTACCTTCTCATCATTACAACAGCAGCAGCAGCAGCAGCGGATGAGAACCAGGATGACCAGCAGCAGAACCATTCCTGACAATACACACAGACAGAGGACAGGTAGTCAGTGATCAGTGTAGGACTGTATTCATGTCTCATACAGTTGCAGTCAGACCCTGTTACGGCCGCCGCTCTGTTCACTTCTGTTGTGCCTAATTTTCCTGTCTGCCAAGCTGCCTGCACAGTCCACCCAGATGCTCCACCCTCTCTGTCCTGATTGGTGCGGCCTCCAGGCTCCTGGCAGCTCCGCCTTCAGCTCACCTGGGTTCCTGATTGGTGCGGCCTGTTTGCAGCTGGCCAATCCCAGCCGCCCAATCAGGAGCCAAACGCTACAAAACTCCTGCCAGCCTGTCAGTCCGGGCGGCTGACTGTTAGTGGCAGCTCGCCTCTTTGTTGGAAGTTTGTTTTTTGTGAAAAGCCAAGATAGCAGATACTGGTAGCTTGTTGTGTGTTTTGTGTTTTGTACTCCTGGTAATCTGGTAGTGTTTGAAGCTTGGAAGTGGGGTCAGGTTTAGATTTTACTAATAGACTGATTCTGCTGATTCCTCCACCTGTAGAAATGACTTTTGTTATATACACTAGGTGCAGGGGTGCTGTTCCTGTTGTGTTTTGGTTTTTAGTTAGCTTTGGTAGCCAGCCTTGTTTTTCCTTTTACTTTGAATTAGTTAAATAAT